TAAATAAATAAAAATTAAATTAAAAAATATTCTTGACCTCACTTCTCCTTTTAGCTCCCACCCAATACTTCTCCTTCCTTTACCACAAAACTCCTTCAGAATTCTCTATACAGTACTGTATCCATCCATCTCTTCTCATTCTTTCTTGAACTCACCCACAATCAAACTTTCACCCTACCACCACCAAAATCTTTCTTTTCAAAGTCACCAACAACCTTCTAAATCAATTATCAGACTCGTCTTATTTAACCTGTATGCAGCTTTTGACACAATTGATCTTTCTTTCCTCCTTGGTAAGTTTCCTTCTCTTAGCTTCCAGCATACTACCATCACCTGCATTTGTTTTTCCTCTACTTCGCTGGGCATTCCTCAGTCTCTTTGATAGTTCCTACTCATTTCTAAAATCAACTAATATTGGAAAGCTCAAGGATTCAGTCCTTATACATCTCTTCTATTTATACTTGCTCCCTTGGTGATCTCTTCTGATCTCATGGCTTTAAATAACATCCATATGCTGATGACTCAATTTTATATCTTCGACCCAGAACTTGCCAAACTTGTATGGTCAATTGCCTTCTTGACATCTTGATGTGTCTGATAGACATCTCAAACTTAATATGTATTAAACCAAGCTCTTGACCTCCCACCACCCCAAAACTTAGTCCTTCCATAGCCTACACCTTCTCAATGTTCAGGCCAAAAATTCCCCCCTTTCTCTCACAGCAAACCCTGTTGGCTTTACATTCAAAATATACCCAGAATCCAACCACTTCTCACCACACTAACCCGAGCCACCATCATCTCTCACCAGATGATTGCAATGATCTCCTAAATGGTCTCCTGCTTCTAGTCTGGCTCTCTTCAGATCTGTTCTCCATTCAGCTGCTAAAGAAATTCCATTAAAAAAAGAAAAAGTCAGATCCATGTCCATCCTCTGCTCAAAACCTTCCAGAATAAAAGCCAAAGTCATCGAATTGGCCTTAGAGCCAACCCTACAGGGTGAAGCGCCTCCCTTATTTCTCCCTTACCTCGTCTCCCACTCTCTATCTCTCTCTTTTTACTCCAGCCACACTGACCTTCTGCTTCTTCCTCAAAAGTGGCAAATATGCTCCCAGTTCAGAACTATTGCATTTACTGTTCCCTATACCTAGAACATTCTTCCCTGAGATATTCAGATGGCTCACTCCTTCACCTCCTTCAGGTCATTCAAATGCTACTTTCTCATTGAGGCCATCTCTGACCATACCTTACACACTCCATATCCTACTCCCTGCTTTATTTGCCTCCATAGGTATCATTACCACCTAAAATACTATATATTTCACTTACTTGATTATTGTTCTTCTGCTTCTACTAGAATGTAAGCTACTTGAAGAATTTTGCCTGTTTTATTCAATGCTGTATCCCCGATACCTAGAAGAGCACCTGGCTCATTCAACAGCCATCTGTAGAATGCGATCGCATGAGGGCCCTAAGGAAACAAAGGGCTGAGATCCGGAAGGGATTGCTCCTGAACAAGAAGAAATACACCTCTTCTAATCTTGAGCAAAATTCAGAATGGATTCAGGTATGTTTGCAGGCAGAAATTTAAGTATTTCTCTCCTGACTGCCCCTAGTTTCTCTAGGAAATAGAAGACAGTGAGGGACTTCAGCAGAGTGGTAATGGAAAGAAACATCAGCTGTGAAGAATGGGAGAGGGTGCTAAGGAATCCAGAGCACTCTCACAGATAGAGTAGGCAGCTGGGCCTTCAGGGGACGGGGGCCTGGTGTACTGGCTCTATTTTTCTAGGACTGATGGTCCAGGTGAAATTGAAAACCTATATTTGCCTTGACACCAATCTACCTGGCTGTGTGGTTTTCTTAACCACCTGCGGGGAGGAGGGAAAGGTTATAAATAAAGAATGAGAGCGGCAAAAATTCAAGTTCTGTCTCAGTTTTTTCTTGAAAGACCAAAGAGAACCCCTTCTACTGACTCTATGCTTCCTTTGTCATCCCCAATCACTGGTCTCATGTTAGTTAGTAAAATGAGCAGTGTCTTTAAGAGTAGAGAAAAAGAAGAGGCTAAAGAACAGGCCCTCTCCCAGGCCACCCCTAAAAACTGAAAGTTGATATATATATGCCCCGTGTCTCAAATTCTGGGTCTTCTCCCCATGATTCCTTCATCTTTCCCAATACCTTCCGGCTACCCGCTGGTGTCACATTCCTGTCCACTTCTCTTTGTGTTCCTGCCCCTCCAAACTCGCGTGCTTTTCGTCCACGTGGTTCTGTATACGAGTCTCCAGGGAGACCCAAGGAGAGCCGGGCTCTAACGACGCCACAATGGTTTCAAGCCAATAGCCGTGATGCTTCTCAGTGACGCGAGACGCGGGGTGTGGCTTTGCCTGCCCGGGAAGCCCACTAGGTGGCGCCGATTTCCCGGGGAGGTCCTTTCTGGGCCCCCGGCGGAGGTGGGGGAGTGGCGGGCAGGAGCCGAGGCCAGGGAGCCCTCTGCGTCAGCTGCTGCTCACTGCGCCGCGCCAGTACCAGCTGGGACTCACCCGCAGCTCCATGCTTGTGCCCGGCTCGACTCGTCCAACCTCCAAGAAGCAGGTACGTGCCACCTGTCGGAGGCTGGGGAGGAGGGACGCGGAGGTCAGTGCCGTTTGAGGCTCAAAAAGTAAGGTATCCACGACAGCCTGGGCAGAATGGGCACTAGAAATGTAGGGCGAATGCCAGCTGCGCGGAGGAGCTCCAGCTGCGGATGCCAGTTATGTATGGGGGCCTGCCAGCTGACAGCCTAGGATGCCAGGAAGAACCATCTGTGTGCTGATCAATGTGTTCTAAGGAAATGCTGCTTTGGCAGGTCCAGGTCTCTGTGTCCTATGTGGGATATGGCATGAGTGTGGCATGAGTCTAGACACTAACAACCCCTTCCTCACATGTGCGTGCAGCTCACTCACTCCCTCCTCTTAAAGCTCCCAGGGGCAGCTACCGCTGGTCAGTTTGTCAAAGGGGTACAGTAGTCAGGTGGAAGGGGAGATTTTCCACCAATCCCAAATCAGAAAGAGGCATCTTTGAAAATCTCACCAATCCCAAACCAGAAGGAGGCGCGGTGCTCCAAGGCAAGTGATTGAGCCAAGGGAAGCCCTAGCCAACCCATTCTAGCTGTCCTCTGAGGAAGGAACATCTTCCTGACCTGGCTGCTTTTGGAATGGGCTGAGTTGGAGATTGAGCTGATGCTCACTTCCCCAGGCATGGGCATGAAAAGGTCCCCCAAGTTAGACCCCCTAAAGTGGAAGGAAGGAGAGCTGGTTGTGCTGGGGTTGGGGCGTCCCCCACTCCTTTGATGTTGTAGATGCATGCCAAACTGGAGTCATCACAAGCCCTGGAATGAGGACCAGGGACAAGGGCGTCCTCTGAAGTGCATCATCAGGACACAAGCTTAGTCAGTAGCCTCTGCTGAGACAGGGTGGAGACACTATCTTGGGGACTCTCCGTCTACAGGGAGAGCCATAGAGAAAAAGACTGGGAGCCAACAAGTGCACCAAGACCTGAGAGGTTAAGAATCCTTCTCCTTCCTCCTGTGACCCTGTCCAGCCCAGTTCTGTGGCCCTGGAATCTTGAGCACTTCTACAGGTAGAGTGGAGCCACCCCAAAGCAGCCAGGCTTTCTCCTGGTAGGCTGGGAGAAGCCACACTTGCTATATTATTCTAGGCAAACGGGAAAGGAGCCTAAATGGGCCTGGCCCTTCTCAGCTGAGTGGGCTAGACAGCTGGGAATGTAGCACATCTCATTTGCCCTTGCCGATTACGGGACATGGACTAGCTCAGAAAAGCAGGGAGCTGTTGTCTGGAATAAGAACAGGGCACTACGAGGGGTAGACCAGAAGCCCTTTTCTCCCTAAGAATGTTTACCTGGAAGGTGCTACTACAAATACTACCACTAATTATAATAAGTGGAAGTATTCAATATAATAATAATTATCGCTACATGCCAGGAAATTTATAAACATTATTTAATTTAATCCTCACAACCGTGAGGTATAGAGTTTATATCTATTACTGTTGTTCAAATTAAATAATTAAGGTTCAGACAGCCTAAGTAATTTGCTTACTGTTTCAGAGCCAATAAAAGGGAAAGAACTAGAATACAAGCCCAGGCCTAGAAGTCCATTATAAAAGAGTTCGGACTAGAAACCTGAGAGCTGGTCCCCTACTGCCTCCCATGATTTGTGTGCCCTTGAGCAAGCTGCTGTCCATCTCGATGTCTTCTCCATCTCAAAAGTAAAGGAATTGGATTAGCACTGTGCCTTCTTTAATTCTGTGACTGATATCTCCTTCTCCATATTTTTCCTCAATTCCAGCCTTGTCCCTCTACCCTCTTCCCCGTTGTTTCCCCTAGGATCCTCCCTCTGTTCCACTTCAAAATGTCCCCATTCAAAGGGTTCTCTAGGATCTCCTTACCTGGCATCATCCCATCAGGGCAGCCCCTTGAGGAAGGGCCTGTCACTGTCCCTTTAATTCTCCTCGGGTTTGGAATGCAAGTGAGTTGAGCCAGCCATCTCTGTGAGGTCAGATAAGATACTATATATATCAGAGTCAGTAACCTGAGATCCGGATTACCCAGCCCAGAGTCAGACTCCAGCCTTCCAGCTCACCACTGCCTCTCCACTGCGCTTCTGGCCCTGCTGGGGAAGGAGAAGCCCCCAGATCCTGTTCATTGCCCCTGGACACAGGTCAGTAGCTGCTCCGTTAGTATCTGAGCTTCACAGTGCCAGTGAACAGAGGGCCCTGGACTGTCTGTTTAGTGGAACAATTGAGAGGTTGCCCCATCAGGTCCAATGGGTGCTGTGGGCAAGAAGGAAGGCTCAGGCCCAAGGACAGAAGAAAGATGAAGTCCTGGAGGAGAGGGAGAAAGCCACTCTTCTCTGGAGAGGGGGCACCTGAAGAGTGCCTGGACAGAGGTGGCTGGAAAAGGGAATTTAAGGATTCCAGCACTGCCTCGGGGCCCATTTCATTGCCTTTTCTTGGCAGTGTAGAGATACCTACCCCCTCCCAACCTGAAATCAAGAAGCACCCAATAGACACACTACCCTGGGCCTACCCACTCACTTCTTTTCTACCAGTCAGGATTCTTGCTCTAATCTCCAATCTATTTTACCTCTTCTCCTGCCCCTCTCCCAGCCCTTGGGCAACTACTAGGAGCAAGACAGAGATGGATCCAAATTCCCTTGGATGAGCCCCCAGCCAAGGCATGCAAAACAATTAGGCACAAAACTGATGGGTCAGTGGGTGCCAGCCCATGAGAAATCGAGGTACTAGTGACAGGTTGGAGGGGAGGAGGCAGGCTGAGGCTCCTAGACAAACTCTTAGACTATGTGAGGACAAATATCCTGCTCCGCCCACAATCCTCCACTCTACCTGCATCCTCCACACCTGCCGGGACATCCCTCAACCCTGGAGTTGACACGTGTGTCCAGACAGTGCCTGAGCAGCTGAGAGTGAGGGTTGGAGAGTGTAGATAAAGGGAGACAGGGTCCCTCTCTCAGCCCACTTTGCCCTTCGGATCAGCACATCAGCAGTGCCTTTTTCCTTCATTGTTGGCAAGTGGCTGTGGGAAGCTCTGACATCACCACTGTGAAGGTTCCCAAGTACCTGACAGGACTGGCTGGTTCTCCTCCACTCACCTGTCCTGGACATCTGGGCATGAGGGAAGGGACTGAATCCTATTGAGGCATGCCTCTGAAAACCACCTAGAGACTTTCTATCCAGGAAATGGCAAAGCCACAGAAGCTGGCATGCCTTCACCCCAGAAAGCAGAGCTGACCTGGGAAGAGAGGAGCCAGGAAGGCTGCTGGGATGTGGAACATTACCCATCCCCTACCCTGGGGGCCAGGAGTGCCTGGGATTCCTGGGGAGCAAGTCCCTCCCCTGGCTGGGCAGGTTAGGGAGCCTTTCACATGAGCAATAGGAAATGACAGTGGCTGATTGTAAGAGGGTTGGCTTCCCTAGGGGGACAGGGTTCATTTTAACCCTTGACTCACCCAGCCTGGGTACCTTGTGGAGCTAGCCGAGCTGCAGCAAGGGTAGGAAGCTGGAAGCTATGTCCATAACCAGGCCTCAGGCCAAGGGCCCTGGCTGGAGCTAGACACTAGTGCCAGGGGGCACGCAGGAGCTTGGCACCACAGATGAAATGGAGGCCTCCTGGGCCATCTCTCAGCTGATCAGTATTGTTCTGGGGCTCAGGTTGCACCTAGCTTCGCTTTCATTCCCCTGCAGTGGAAACTCGGAAGGAGTGCTCCTACGGAAGTCTGTACTTGCCATGCTGTTGCCTAGACAGTGATGCCTGGATGCCCCAACACTACACCTCAGGGAGAGGTCAAGATAGTATGAAGTGGGAGGCTTGGCTTCAGGGTGGCTGTTAGAAGACAGAACACAGTTCTGCCACTCTTCCCATCATGACCTTGGGAAATCCACATCACTTCCACAAACCCTCGTTTCCTTATCTGCAAATGGGCATAATAATAGCACCTACTGCTTAGAGCAGTTGTGAGGATTAAATGAGTTAATCACAGTGTCCCAGAAGTCTTAGTGCAATTTTAAGCTTTAATAACTTCAGAAATATGAATGCTAAATGCTTCATTTGGATGTTTCATTATTTAAATTTCTTGTCTAGTTTTTAAATTTGGAATAAAAATATTTTTAATTTCAATTTAATGTGAAAAATTAAAACTTCAAATGATGTTTGTAAGCTTAAGGCATTTATTCTTCCAAAAAGAATTAAAGTTAAAAACTGCACTGAGACTTTGGGAACACTCTGTATGAGCGCACTTAGAAGAGCACCAGGCATGTGGCGAGGGCTGTCTGAGTGCTGGAGTTAGGGCTGCATGTGAAGCATTCAGCGTGGTACCTAGTCCAGAGGTGTTCAATACCTGCTGGCCAGGGTGATTGTGCTTCACTCACATGTCCTACCAGGAAGCTGAATACTCTGTGCAGAGGAATGCTGCTGCCTGACCCAAGAGGGGGAAATTGAGCAAAGTGAGGGGAAACTCTGGCAAGAGCAAAAAAGAGTGGAGGCACCTCTGAAGATGATATGGAGGAGGAGCTTGGCAGGTGGACCGCCCCTGTTGTCTGAGGTGACAGCACCTGGGGAGGTGCCCCCTGGAGTCAGTCACATGCCTGCACTTGCCAGCTCTGGGTAAACAATGAAAAGGAGCCAGGCATCAGGGCCCCCCCCCCACTCCCCACCCCCCCCACACACTGGGCAGGGAGGAGGTAGGGGGATCCCAGCCAATCGGCTTGCCTCCCACTGCCCCATGAAAGGGCCATTCAGTTCAGGCTGTTCCTGTGGCAACGGAGAGACTCAAGGAGACCCGCAGCCATGTGAGTGTTCATCCTGTCCCTGTCTTGTGCAACAAGGCAAAGGCCAGGGCCCTGGCCCACTCTCCCACCCATAGTGCATTCTGAAGCTTTCTGGGTCACCCCTGCCAGGTAATGCCAAGGGGCACCAACCCAAGGTGCCTGCTCACCTGGAAAATACTAGCACTTTTCTCAATAGTGAAACTGGAGGACTGGGGAATGGGAAAGGCATGCTCAAGACCTCAGCCCCAGTAGGGATTCTCTCCCCAGACATGGGAACTGTAAGCCAGAGGTCAGTGCTGAGAAGCAGCTTCCAAGGCACTGTTAGTAATAGCATAACACACTTCCCCACTCACCCACCCAGGGCTACTCCGGGGAGGGGGGGCCATCTGTCAGTTACCTGCCAGATTGGAACAGACAGGAAAGCAAGGATTTAAGAGCCCTCCTAAGACTCTGGGCCAAAAGGTATGACTCCATCTCCAGTCCCTGACCCTTCCCAGGGCTACTTATCAGCTGTCCCAGGGCCGGCCTTCCCTATCCAGGCTACGCCTTGTATGGCCCCTGCACTTCTGCATCATTAGGGCCAAGAGAGATCACAAGCTTGAGGCACTGCCTGCAGAATACCAATTCCTGGGAGCCTTAGTGTGGGAGAGAGGGAGAGAGAGTCTAGGGAGGAGTTCTGAGCTCATGCCCTGGTGGGGGTGGAGGGTCGTATCTGATTGGCTGCCCAGTGTCCCAGAGCCCAGCTCCTGAGACCTGGAGTCTCTTTGACTTTGAATTATTGATGGAGTTCTCATCAATAGTGAAAGAGAGCAGGACTGGTCCCAGCCCCAGCCCCCTGTGCCTCTGTGTCTCCCCCGGCCACCCTCAGCCTTCACTCTCTTGTCCACACCTTAGAAAGTTAAACGAATGGGAGGAAAGATTGTGGTTCCCCTCAACCCTGAATGAGGTCTTCCTACAGCTACCTTTTCTTAGAAAGGGGTGAAAGTTGTGCTGGAGGTGGAAGCGCAGTGGACAAGGGAGTACACACAAAGGTAGGGCGTCCCCAGGCCAGGTAGGAAAGAATGGACTATAAATGTGGACTAGGTTTTTCTGATGCCAGCCTGTACTGAAAATTGCATGGACTAAGTTTCTAGTGCTCTCTGCCAAGCCCTCAGCATTTGAGGCTTGGCACTAGCTCCTCTCTGCCCTAATGAGCTGGCCAACCAGCCTGGGGATAGCTGTGGGTTGCCCAAGCCACTAACTGCTAAATAGCTAGACTGGCCACTGCCTGCTCATCTATTCATCTCACTGGGGGCTCTTCTCACTGGGGGCTCACCTCACTGGGGGTTGCTGGGGGAAGCCTTGGTGCTCAGAGCTGAGGTCAGAGGCCGCCAAGGCCAGGAGATAGCCAGCTCTGATAATATTACAGGCCTACAAAGGGACGAGCTGGGCAGCAGAAGCCGAGGGAAGAGATAATAACTACTGTCAGTGTTGAAGGTTTTCACACGTTATTATCTCATTTATTCCTCAAAACAGCTCTATGAAATAGGAATCATGATGATGATTATACTCACTTTACAGGTGAAGAAATTGGGAATCAAAATGGTTAAATGACTAGGGCAAAATCACCCAGTTAGTCAATCACAGAGAGGGTCAAAACCAGCCCCTGTACACACTACTCTGAGAGTTGTGGATGACTCTGCCCTCCCACCCCCGAAATCTCCCAAGAGCCCCTGATGGCCCTCAGGAAAGGGGCCTGATCCCACTTACTACTCTTTCCAAAGCACCTTTGCTCTCCAGCTCCATTGTAAATAAAACCTCTGAATTTAGAGTAATGGAGGGACTTTATAGGTCACCAAGTGAGCCTAAATTTGATGAGAAGGGGTGAATCAAGGTAAAGTGGAAAGAGCATTGGGCTAGAAATCTGAAAGACCTGGATTCCAATCCCAGCTTTGCAAATGTGTGACCTTGGACAAATTAGCGTCACTTTTTCCATCTGTATAACAGAGAGGTTAAAATGGATGACCCTTTAGAGCCCTCAAAACTCCTTAATTCTGAGATTCTGTGTTCCTTCACCAGACCCACCCCAGAGGTAAAGACTGGGAGTTAAGTACAGGGAGTGCTTCCTGCAGTTCAGGATTTTAGCCTCTAGGGGGCCCCCTTTGCACAAGTCATTATCCCCGTGAGCAGTTGGGGATGGATGTTGGTAGGGGAACTCCTGGAAGGGCACAGACCCTAACTCTACTTAGAACAAAACACAACTCAGTGAAGAGAGTGGGTTCTACCACACTACCACGCAAAGATCCCTATCCGTACCCCCACAGCAGGTGACCATGTCCAGGGAAGGACTCTCCTTTGGGGTCTAGAGACCAAGCCCCCTCTCAGCCACATGCTCACTCACCACCGCCTCCTCCCAGCCCCCATTATTTCCTCTAATGAGCCTCTTTTTCTTCACCAGGAAGCTGATCCACTCCAGCTCGCACAGTCAGGAGGGAGGGAAACAGTCTTAACTCTTGAACTCTCCACTGTTCTCAGTCCAGAGGGTGAGGGCGGTGGCATCCCTCCAGCTCAGGAGTTTCTGCAGAAGCTGAGGAGAGGAAGCTGGTGGGATCTGGGTTGGAATACTACGTGAGGCTTGGAGGGCTGCAGAGGGTGGGCAGTCCCTGCTTTCATGTTTGGGTCTTTGAGTAGAGCACTCAAAGAGGCCAGGATATGCTGAGATTGACTGCCCTGTGTCATAAGAGCCAGTAACCTCTGTGCTCTCGCAGAGGTGTGATGAATGTGTGAGTGCAGACCTGTGTGCACATGCGTGCATGCACATGCATAGGCTTGTTTCTCAGTGGCAGGCCAACCTCTTGTGGAAGTGGACTGTTGAGATCTAAGGTTCTGGCCAACTGGGGATGAAGAGCAGGTACAGTGGGAGCCTGACACCTGACAAGGCCCTCTGACAACTGCTTTCCTTGTCTTTCAGCCCATGAGGCTCCCAGGCCCCACTGAGTGCAGCCCTGAAGGATGTCCCAGCTCTCCTCCACCCTGAAGCGCTACACAGAATCGGCCCGCTACACAGATGCCCCTTATGCCAAATCAGGCTATGGCACCTACACTCCCTCTTCCTACGGGGCCAACCTGGCTGCCTCCTTCCTGGAGAAGGAGAAGCTTGGTTTCAAGCCGGGCCCCCCAACCAGCTTCCTCACCTGTCCCCGTACCTATGGCCCCTCCTCCATCCTGGACTATGACAGGGGCCGCTCCCTGCTGAGACCAGACATCATCGGGGGTGGTAAGCGGGCAGAGAGCCAGACTCGGGGCACTGAGCGGCCTTCAGGGAGTGGACTCAGCGGGGGCAGTGGATTCCCTTATGGAGTAACCAACAATTCCCTCAGCTACCTGCCCATGAGTGCTCGTGATCAGGGGGTAACCCTGACCCAGAAGAGGTCGAACAGTCAATTAGACCTGGCCAGGGATTTCTCCAGCCTGCGGACCTCAGATAACTACCGGATAGACCCTGGGAACCTGGGCCGTAGCCCCATGCTGGCCCGCACACGCAAGGAGCTGTGCGCCCTGCAGGGGCTCTACCAGGCAGCCAGCCGCTCCGAATACCTGGCCAACTATCTGGAGAACTATGCTCGCAAGGGGAGCACACCACAGGTGCCCACCCAGACCCCTCCCTCACGAGTCCCTGAAGTCCTCAGCCCCACCTACCGACCCAGTGGCCGTTACACTCTGTGGGAGAAGAGTAAGGGCCAGGCACCTGGGCCCAGCCGCTCCAGCTCCCCAGGGCGAGAAACTATGGTGAGTTTGCCTCTTGGGGACCCGGTGATGGGCTGGGGAGGCAACCACTGATATAGAAGAGCCAGGTTGAGGGAAAGACTCCCAACTCGACTAATGATCGAAGGTGGAGGTTTTCTTCCCAAATCTCTTGGCAACTGCTCCTGCAGCCCTAGTGCCGACAAGCCAGGGAAGTCATCTAGGCATGTCTGGTGCCCTCGTGGCTCACTGTCCTGTTCAGAGGCTCTCCCATTCTCCCCAGGAAACCCACTTCAGGACCTGTACACTCGACGATGGTCCAACAGCACTCCCGGAAATGTACAGTTACACCCACATGCACTACGATTCCTACCCTCTACTTTTCCACTCAACATGCCAGGGTCCCATGCAGGCCCTGCCTCATCCTGGACTGGATGCTGAGGCCCCCAGACCACCAGTGTTCTCTGTGGTAAGAGAGGCCTCTGTGCTCTGGTTGCATCTCTCCTCCTGCTCAGGCTTTCGCTTCCCAGCCTGGAGACCTAGCTTAGCCTTTGGGCCTAGTCATTGGGGAAGAGGTACTCTCTTATGACACTAACTGGATCAGGACCAGGGTGCCAGGACAGCAGTCCTTATCATGTGTCTTTGGAGAAAGTGGTGGAGAAACTAGTCTAGGTCTTTAGACAATCCAGTACCTCTATATTCCAGTACCTCTATATTCCAGTCCTGCCTGGGCTTAAAATGAGGGAAGAGGCTCTGCTGAGCAAAGGCTGGCTGGTCTCACTCGCATCTAATCCCTGAACACACCTCTCCTAGGGCACAGACTACATTCTGCCTTTTCTGTAGCTGTTAGTGACCCATTAGGTGGCTAATGCTCAGAGGATGAGAAAGAAAGCATATCTCTAGATCCCTTACCATGTGCCTAGAGCAGTGCAGAGCTCAGCTGATCTGCTAATTGCATGTGTGGATGGTGAGTGGAGTAGATGGATGAGTGGATGGACAGATGGACAGGCAAGCATATGGGCAGGAGAGTTAAGTGTTGTGTCTCTGTTACCTTATAAGCCCTTCCCCTACTCCTAGAACATGTGCCTTTTTGAAACAATAGCTACGTCACAGCAAGAAATGCTGCTTAGGGGGCTTGTCCAGATAAATGGAGCAGGGGTGCAGAACAGGGGTGGGGCTTTGGGTCATAGACCTTGAAGCTTGGCATAACTAAAGGGTCTTGAGAGGACGACTTTGATAACATTACCTAGAGAGTCTTGGCCTTGGTGGGCCATCTGTGAAGTGCCATGAGAGATAAAAAAAAAAGCTAGTGCCTGCCAGGACATTCAGACCCTGGCAGGGCAGGGTTGGCTACTACACTGGAGGGCTAGTGTAGAAGATGAGTGGGAAACAACACAGGTGGCCTGGGAGAGAGATCGTGTTTTCTGAGGAACATGTGCTTGTATTGGAGTATGATTCACTTGGGCATGTCTGGTGTTGCTCATCTCGGGGAAAATTAGAAGATGGTTCTCAGTGGAGGGGCTTAGATCCTAGAGGCTTCTGATTCCTCAAAGTGGATCTGCAGACCTCCTGTATCAGAATCACCTGCATCAGAATCACTTGGGCCCCACCCAGATCCTGTGAATCAAACACTCTAGAGATAGTGCCTGGGAATCTGCCCTTTTCACAAGCTCTTCAGGTAATAAGCACGCTAAGGGTTGAAAACCTCCTCTCCACAAATCAAGTGCAGACCCACCCTCAGTCCCAATCATGAGAGAGCAAGGTCTCCACCTTTCCTGGGTAGCATACAATGGGACTCTGCCTCCTTCTAACAGACATATCCTGAACCTCCCTGGAGTCTGTTGCCCTCCACTCCACTCAAAGTGGATACCCAGGTCCCACCCCCAACCCCACTCCCAGAGGCAGGGTGAGGGGAATTTTGAGAAAGGGCCTCGGAGGAATGGCAGATCACCCTGGGGCACACTTAGCCACCCTAACATCCTTCCTTTCCTTCCAGAAACAGCTCACAATACACTTAAGTAATGCCAATAACACCCTACAATTAATTTAGTGTTCCACTCTGAGCTCACACTCACATATTGCCAACTGGGAAAGACCCCTAATAGGTCAATGGTATAAGACCCTGATTTAACCTCACCCCTCTCTCCTCAGCACTCTCATCTGGAGCTGACTAGGTCTTGCTAAAGTGAGAACAATCCTGCTCATGGGGCATGGACCACTTCTTTCTAAAACTGGGTAGTTTCTTTTTACAGCTGCATTTGGGGATCTTACCCTCTCGTTCATTCATTTACAGAGCTCAGCTTACTAACAGTATAACCTCAGAGGAGTTCTTTAACTTCTGTAAAACAAGAGTGATCAGAATTCCCACTTCATAGATTATCATGAGGAATTGAAGGTTGTGTGTGTAAGGGCCTGGCATGAAGTAGGTGCTCAATGAATGTTTGTCCTCCTTGCACCCTCCCAGGTGCTTTGGGAAGCAAGAGATATGTGCACCTGATCCTTGCCCTCAGTGCATTCACAATTAACTTGGGGAAATAAGTTCTTAAAATAGCTGCAATAGAAGGCAGCCCTCGATGTTTTTAAGTGTCATAGGTGATGGGAAAGGGAGAGGTCTTCTGCAGCTGGGATGGGCTGCTGTGACCACCAGAAGGAACAGTTTGCCTCTTTAACCTTGGACACTTCTCATCTGAGCTCTGTTTCCTATATGACCATCCATAAAAAGGAATGGTCATATTTGCCCTGCCCATCTCATAGGGATGTCATGAGGCTCAAAGCAAATAATGGATATAGAAGAATCTGAAGCCAGTACAATGCTATGGAAGAGTCTGTGTAAACTTAAGGTGGAAAAGATGACAGAAAAGGGGCGTTTGCCAGCTGACTAGAGTCGGGAGGGGAGCAGCCTTGGGAGGAACAAAGGTAAGAAAGTGCTCCTTTGGCAAGATCAAGCCTGATCTGACACCTCTGAGGCCCCTGGAACAGATCACTTGAACTATAGTTGGCATTCATAAACAGAGGTCAAAAGCAGGCCCCAGCCAGGGCACAGAACAGTTCTAACCAGACTCATTCCCCTCATTAACAATAACAGGCAACATGAACTTGGAATATCACAGACTCAGCTAAACACAGAACTGGTGAAGGAGGAGACATGAATTCTGAATAACCTTCCATGCTTGCAGAAGCGCCAATAAAGTGCCGGTCCCCCAGGATGCAGCTCAGTCTAGGATAAATGAGGGCTGCCCCAGGCTCTACTTTCTGTTTAAAATGCAGACAGATTGTAGAGGAGGGATGTGATGGTTCAGAACTGGTATATAACAAAAAAGCTTTCACTACTCACAGTGGAGACTCCAAGCCAGGTGAGTTGGCCCTGCAGAGAACCAGGAGCCCAAGTACCCAACCTGGTCATGTCCCCACTCTGCCCCACCTCTCCTGTTCCCCTAGCCTATGGAAGGACAAGCTGTTCCCACTGAGCCCTGCCAGGGCAATGCTTTAACCCCTACAATCCATCCTAATCCTCCTCCACTCCACCCCTTCCAGCCACTCCCTCCCCAGCCCTGGCATTCTGCCTGCCAGCCTCAGCCTTACCTTCTCCCTGCCCTGCCTAGGCCACCCTCTCCTCTCTCCCAAAGAAGAGTTAGGGGTCAGTCCTCCAGAGAACAATCTCCAGGCCAGGCACCTGCTGCTCAGATGCAATGCCAGGAACTGAGGCTTAGAGCCTGGCCCGGCCCATTCTCCGCACACAGTCTCTTCCACACCCTTGCCCTCTGCTCTGGGGCCTGGTGCTGGGAGCAAAAGGTCTGAGAACCTAGAGTACCTGGGTCCTATTTGCCCCTGGGGCTGCTGACTCATCTCTTGAAGCCTTGGTTTCCAGCTGGTCAGTGACAGGGAGATTATATAAGCTGAGGTCATATAACTTTTCTCTTGGGTGGGACTTTGGACTTGACTGCTGCCGTGAGGTGGGGAGGGGGTGGACAAGTTAAGGATGACAGGGCTGCCCTAGAGCTCCTGGGTGAGAAGTATGACCTTCCTCTTTCATCCCTTGCCTTCTCACTGTTTACTCAGCCACTCTGAACAACAACTCTGCTGTCCTGTTTGTCCAGCTTAGCTGCCTGAGACCTTGGGGCCTGTCCTCACCCAGTCAGCCACACTAAGAAAGCTGTACTTCCTGAGGGCTTGAATCTGTGCTGACAGCATGAGAAGGTCACTCAGAGGACACCTTAAGCCAGAGGGGTCCCATGGCCAGGACCACTATCAGCTGCTGAGAGAAGGAGGGCAGTTGGTTTATGGTTTGTGATTAGAGTCATCAAGACACTGATGTCTCTGTCTCTTGAAGCCTGGCTGTGGGCTGTGTCCTGGCTGTTGGCCTTGGTGCTGCCTTACCCAGGCTCAGTTTCTCAATCAGTGCCCAGCACCATCCTCTCTGCTTCCTCCTCCACCCCCACTCCAGGATGTCTTCATGAGTTAACATGGTGTTGGGGTGGTACTCAGCAACATGTAAGTTAATCTAAGTCTGGCAAAATGTTCCCTGCCCCTGGCAGAGACGTTCCACCGACCATCAGCTCTAGAAATGAACATCATTTTCAGGGCCCAGAGCTACACAAGTGACCCTCACCTTAATGGATACATAAAACTGGTGCCCTGAACAGAGGTATAAGCAAGAGAAGGAAGTGTGTGGGCCTCTGGAATCCAGCTGGTTCAGGCCAGACTGTCCTGAGGCTCCAAAGAATACAGAGCTTTTGGCCTCATAGGGTAAGATTGATACAGAGAAGCAGAGCTTCTTACCAGCTCTCCCTCCCCAAGGGCACTTGTGGGCTGAAAGCCCAGCCCCCAACAAGGACTCTGAACCCTTACCAGTTCAACCAGTCAGTCAGGCCACCAGTCTTTCCGTTTGCAGTGGTAATAACAGCTGTGTACTGGGAGCAGGGCCACTGGCTTGAGGCATTTGCCTGGGCTTGCACAGTGTTTCCACACCACGGACCAAGCTTCCCACTAAGATCTTAGAAAGCAAAATACTCTCAGTCCTGCCCTCACAGAGCTAATTCTGAGTT